AAACTATATATATATACACATACCACGACATTTGACTGGTGTTAACTGACATTTCGTTAAAACGGACATTCTTTTGTAAAATCACGAAATTGAATTGAGTGAAAACTGATCAGATTTTATTTGTGTAAAATAGTGACTTCCATTTCGTATTTAGTAATTGATGTCTACCCTCACTCAATACAAAATGGAATTCCCGATTTTACTTTTTTTTTTTTTTTTTTTTTTTTTTTTTTTTTGAAAAAGATTAGCATGGCATGGGCCCTGTGCAAGGATGACACACATAAATCGAGAAATGGTTCAAATTTTTAAACCACCAGTACGTTTCCCTGCTTGGAAAACAAAAACGCGCCGGTTAACACAGGGTCGTTGCAGGGAACGGCCGACCCTGCCGTACAACGGAGTGTGAAGAAGTAAAAAACAAACAAACAAACAAACAAACAAACAAACAAACAAACAAACAAACAAACAAACAAACAAAAACCAGAAAAAAGACGAGGAAAAAACAAAGAAACAAAGCGGGAAAGGCGCGGGGGAGCGGCACCCACGGGGGGGGGAGAGAGAGAGAGAGAGAGAGAGAGAGAGAGAGAGAGAGAGAGAGAGAGAGAGAGAGAGAGAGAGAGAGAGGGTGAGTTTGCAGCCGCAGTCCGTGAAGCTCACCGTTCCTAGCTCTCTCTCTCTCTCTCTGTGTATATATATACCCTTTCTTTTTTTGTATTTTCCTTTTTTTTCCAAACGGATAAATCTCTCGAGCGTTTCATTCAGTTGTTTTCCTTTTTCTTTTCTTTTTTTTTTTCTTTTTTTTTTCCTGAAGAATCTCATTCGTAATTCTTATTTTCATTTTTTCATTTTTTCATTGTTTTTCAGTTTTTTTTTGTTTTTAGAAACGACTTTCCTGCTACCTGTAGCCTCCAGTAGCTTGAGGCTCAGCAAGGCTGGCATTCCGGTAGCTGGAGGGTCGGACTTGATAGATGGGAAAGGTACTCAGTCTGGTGGTTTAATGATTAGAGGCCTTGGGGGCGAAACACCCTCGGGCCTCGACCTATTCTCTAACTTTAAACCACCAGTACTTGGCCCAGCTATCGATGCCGAGCCTGAAACGGGGTGCGCGCCGTTTCGCGCCGACCCGCCAGCGCAACAAAACATAATTGTTTTGGCTGGCGGCGCCAGCCTTTGAGGGCCGGTACCTCGAGCCTCCGGAAGCTGCGGGGCGTTAACAACAACGCCCCACGGCCGATGTATGGGCCAAGTACTGGTGGTTTAAACCACCAGTACCTTTCTCAGCTATAGATGCTGAGCGTAAAATCACCCTGCACACTGAAAAAAAATGAACCGGCGCGGGACTCATTTTGGCTGGTGCCGCCAGCCATTACGGTCCGGTAGCACCGAACCCCGCTGGCCTCCCATGTTACCTGGCGCGTCTCGGCAAAATAGCTGGGAAAGGTACTGGTGGTTTGAATAGGTAAGATTCCGGAAGGAATTGGTTAGGCGCACAAGTGACATTCAGGAGATTGCGGGTTCTATCCCCATGGCCGTCTGAGGTACACTTGGTGCCAACCAACTGAAATAGTCAGCTGGATCCTCCCAGTCTGTAGTAGAAGGGTCTTCAGCCAGCCAACACGGGTGCGAGTGCAAGTGTGAGTGGGTTGTATCTGGCGTGTGGGAGAGTGCTGGCCTTAGACACTGCTGTTACTCGATGGGGTGGGGAAAAGGGAGGCACAGCTACTGGCAAATGCCCGGTCCTTGCGTTCGCTGGCCCCTCACCGACGGCCCCAACCCTGCACCCTAAGCCACTAGGGCAAGAGGCAAACATGCAATTACCTCCCTCCATCGAACGGAGCCACTAGCAAACAGCGCACGTGGAGGGGGTGTCTGCTCTTATCAGCACCTCCTCCACGCCCGTCAGCGATGTTAAGAAAAAAAAAAAAAAAAAAAAAAAAAAAAAAAAAAAAAAAAAGAGGTAACCTCCCTTCAGGGCCTTCGCCAAGAGAGGTAGATAGCTATACTTGCAGGGGTCCAGTGTATCGCCTTAGGAGTAGTGGCAGGTAGGTCATGAAAAATGAAAGATTTTGAGAGAAGAATAAAGTGTAGGTTAAAAAAAAGAAAAGAAAAAAAAGAAGAAAAGAACATGTACCAACTGGTACACCCCTGCCTGAACTGTTGAAATACAGACCAGGTGCAGAGTTCGAACTCCACTGGCAGCAGATGAGCAAAATACTTACTACTGTAATTCTGAATTACCTAGGGCTGGTCAGCTCAGTGATCATATCTCAAGGCCGTCACGCTTTCTTAAACCACGACTACCTTTCCCCGCTGTTGGGAAAATGGGAAAATAGCCTGCCCAAAAATATCGGAGGCTGGGCCCGACAACGGCCGCCGTCGATAAGGGACTGGGTCTGATCCAACAATACTTCCATTACGTAAAAAGGTTACCGTAGTGTTTGGGCTGATCCCACCTCTTTCCGCACGAGCGGACCGCACGAGCGGAGGGCGGCGGCGCCACGAGCGGCGGAAGGATGTGGAAAGGTTTGAAGTCATGGCGGTCCCCGCCAGGAGCGATCGCCACGCGAAAAAATTGAATTGAAGGAAATTCCAAGGAGTGCCGACCCGTACCCTGTTCCCAAAGAAGGCGGCTTTTTTTTTTTTTTTTTTTTTTTTTTTAATTTTTTTATTTAATGCGCTGCAGACTGCCGGTGGCTCCCCAGCAAGCTCCTGCCTGCCAATAAATTGACACTCCCAGCCTTCCGTCTTTCCTCTTGTGCAGGCTGGGGTCTTGACTCCTCGCTCCTGCTTTCCACGGATGAACGTAGAACCAGTGGTACCTGGCCCTAACTGTAGAGCGGGGTTGGGGTGTGGAACACAGCATTTCACAGCCAAAGCACGGACATCTGTCCCTCGGGGTCTTCACTGGAAATTTGGGACGGTACAGTGAAGATCCACACGACGTCTGTGCATGAATCAATAAACGGTCTCATGAAAAGAAGGAAAAAAAACGAGGGCCTTATGGCCCTGAATCCGATTCTTTGGCGCACAGCACGTTTCCAGCCCCGGAGAGAAGTCCCTTGGAAGTACTGGTGGTTGGGAAAAAAAAAAAAAAAGGGAGTTGCGCCTCCGAGTTGTATTTCCAAATAAAAAAAAAAAAAAAAAAAAAAAAAAAAAAAAAAAAGTTTTTTTTTTTTTTTTTTTTTTTTTTTTTAGGGGAGAGGAAGGCAGGGAGAGGAAGGGGGGGGGGAGTGGGCGTTGGGGGAGGGAAGGGGTCAGGAGAGGCAGGGAACGGAGCATAAGGAGCGCGGCATGGCTCAGCTACCGTAGTGGGGGAGAAAGGAGGGGTTGGATGGGGACAGCGAAGGGAAGAGAAGGGAAGTGGAAAGAAGAGGGTTTTGGGGACAAGGGTGCTGGGTGTTGATTTTTAATTTTTAATCCTTACTTGCTTCAATGCAGACAGCAATGCCGCATGGTTGGTGGCCCTTTTCGTGTGCTCCAGGATAAGTCCGTTGTTTGCTGAGTACAGCTCACTGTGACCACAGGCAGAGAGACCAAAGGCAAGGACAAGGAATGATATTAAAAAGAAGAAGGAGAAAAAGGTTTGGGAAATTTTCGATACGCCCCTGAAAGTTTGATTTATTTGCGGCGTGCCCCTCCGACAGCCACCTTACCCTGTCGCACCTCTCTGACAATGATTGACGTTTGTGAAAAACCCCTGGCGTCGTTTGGGCCTGAATTATGTTCAATATGCCCCTACCGGTAGGAAGAGTTTTCGATATGCCCCTGAAAGTTCGATTTATTTGTGGCGTGCCCCTCTGATAGGCAACTTACTCTGTCGCGCCCCTCTGACAATGATTGAAGTTTCTGAAAAAAAACCTGGCGTCGTTTGGATCTGAATTATTTTCAATATGCCCCTACCGGTACCGGTTCCAAATTTCCAGTATGCCCCGGTCGCTCCCCTCCCAGGGCCAGGGGAACAGGCCCGCGTCCTTAAAACGGTCAACCCCCTGGATGTATCTGGACTTCCCTGCAGTCGAGGGGATCTGGTGTTCTGAAAATTCCAGAACCCCTAGATGTATCTGGACTTAGCTGGCATCCAGGGGTACGACGTTTTCAGAACGCTGTACCCTCAGGAGCTCAAAATATTGACCCAAATTGGGCCAATTTATGAGGTTTCAATTCCGTTCAGAAAATAAAATATGTCCATTTTGATGAAATTGCTGTTTCTTCATTGAGTCATTATGCCACACTCTTTTCGCCTCTATAACCCTCCTCCCTCTACCAGTTGTCACTCCGTGTTCAAAGCGCGAGATGTACATGCAAAGTGCTTCTCTGTACCTTTCCCCCGGGGCGGAATTCAGTGCCTGGACCTCTTTTCCTACTGAATCCGGCTGAAGCCCCACGGGCCAGTGTCACCAGTAGCACAGTGGCCCCGGCACGCTAGGTAGTGCTCAATCAGGCACTGTCGGCCCAAACCTTGCCGTCCTCATGTCTGGCCAAATCTTGATCAATGTTGGCCACGAGGTTGGACTCGTGGTTACCGTCCGCACGTCCGGATCCCATTCCGGACTGTCCGCGTTTGGATGTCGCGGCGGACGCCCGGTCCGGTAGGTCCGGATGAGCAGGGGGCACATGGACGACTTACGATGATATCAGTTTGGCTTCTCCGATTCCTTTGCTGGGAGAGTTTTTCGGGTCTCGAACCCTCTACTCTTGTTGAAATCTGTGTTGGCGTCTCGATATCCTTTGCTGAAAGAGTTGTTCGGGTCTCGAACTCTCGACTCTCTCTGGTCCTTGGACTCTACAACACCATGTGCTTAAAAAAAAAAAAAAAAAAAAAAAA